TATACTGAGGCATTTTTAATTTTTAAATTAATAAAACAAGCAATACGATAGGAAGTGACAGGGACTCTTTTAGATTGGTCGATTAGGGAGGATCTTTCTAGGGAGGTGACACTGAGGTCTGAATAACAGTACCTAGATCCAAACCCGCCCCCTCCCCAAGGTGGTGTTAGTGGTATTGGTAGTGGTAATACTGATAATTTTTTTTTAAGATTTTATGTATTTATTCATGAGAGACAGAGAGAGAGAGAAAGAAGCAGAGGGAGAAGCAGGCTCCCCGCAGAGCAGGGAGCCCGATGCGGGACTCGATCCCAGGACCCTGGGATCATGACCCGAGCTGAAGGCAGACGCTTAACCATCTGAGCCACCCAGGTGCCCCTGATAATTTTTATATAACATCTGTTGAATATGTATTTTATTTGCCAGGCATGCTGAACACATTTCAGTTGATCCTTCTATCAACTCTTGAGTTGATACTCATTTTTTCTTTTAAAGATGAAAAGACAGATGCTTAAAAAGCTATCATTAAAGCAACAACAAAAAAAAGCATTTCACCCTAAGAATGAAAATGTGAATTTCTGAGGTAGGCTAGAATATTCATTGGTAGAAGCAATTTTTACTTACAGAAAAAATGAAGAGAAAGTATTCCAGACAGCTCTTGCTACAGACCTGAGGCAGACACAAGCATAACATATTCAAGGAAACATGTTCAAGGAAAGAAGGACATTTTAGCCTATGCTGTTGAGTTACGCTACCACAACATAATTGGTAAATGGTCATTTACTCCCTGAATACTCACGTTGAAGGAAGCTCACCACTTTCAGACTTCTCTTATTCTTACACAGTTTATTTTTTCCATGTAGGACTTACAGACTACTGGTGTCATATTAAAAGGACACAGAAGCTGGCTTAAGGGTTTCTCAGTGGCCAAGTTGGGGACAGTGTAAGCACCAGTAAGGACCATGAAGTAATGGATTATAATATATGTCTCTAAAAATCGTAATTTCTTAGTGAAACTCAGAGAGAAAGAAAGAAGCTTTTCTTTATAGAAGAATGCCAGATAAGGTAGGAAGAATGATAGAATTAGAAAATGACTGGCAAATCCCAATGTAATTTTGATTCAGGCAAGAGATACTCCATGGATGCTAAAATTTTGGGGTGAAAAGTTGTTAGAGGATAAGATATTCATACAGTTTCAATGTATCACTCCATGATTACTTACTAACTATAAAGGAAGGAACGTACCTTTAAAATGGAGAGATCTGTCCGTTACTGCCTTAACTCAGTGATCAGACTTGGTATTACGTGTTTCCTTGATGTGATACAGTAAGTACCCAGCATTACCTACACAGTATCCCTGCCAGAAATGTTTAACTGGAACCTAATCATGAGGAAACATTAGAAAAATCCAGAATGTGGGGCAATTTATGAGACAACTAGACTGGACTTTTCAAAAATTCAGTGTCATGAAAACAAAAGATTGCAAGGTGCTCTATGCCAAAGTATTTAAGAATGAAGTGATATTTTTTCTGCAGTTAACTTTCAAATAGTTCGTCAAAAAATTGTGTATATGTATGTTTAGAGAGAGAGAAAGCAAATGAAATAATAGTTGGTGAACCCAGGAAGTGAAAAGTTGTGTTTGGGTGTTCATTGTACTATTCTTTCAACGTACAGATTTTTAAATATTCAGAATTATAAACTGAAGAGGATACTTCCTCTGTTTTGAACTCAAATCCAATTTTTTAATATTTTTGCCCATTGATTTAATTGTGCTATCTGAAGCCACTTTGATAGATCCAAATCCCCCCCCGCCCCAGTTTGGTGTTAGTGGTATTGGTAGTGGTAATACTGATAATTTTTACATTACATCTGTTGAATATGCATTTTATATGCCAGGCCTTGTGCTGAACACATTATCTCAGTTGATTCTTCTAACAGCTCTTGAATTGTACTCATTTCTTCTTTTAAAGATGGAGGGCACCTGGGTGGCTCAGATGGTTAAGCGTCTGCCTTCGGCTCAGGTCATGATCCCAGGGTCCTGGGATCGAGTCCCGCATCAGGCTCCCTCCTCGGCAGGGAGCCTGCTTCTCCCTCTCCCACTCCCCCTGCTCGTGCTTTCTCTCTCTGTCAAATAAATAAATAAAATCTTAAAAAAAAAAAAAAGATGAAAAGACGGATGCTTAAAAAGCTGTCATTAAAGAAACAACAAAAAAAGCATTTCATCCTAAGAATGAAAATGTGAATTTGTGACATAGGCTAGACTATTCATTGGTAAAAGCAAGATAGAAAAATTTGTGATAAAGTCACTAGGCATGCGTATTTTTCTGGCCTTGAACTTGTTCTACATACAACTTACCATTAAGAAGCAATCTTCTAGGGCGCCTGGGTGGCTCAGTCGTTAAGCGTCTGCCTTCGGCTCAGGTCATGGTCCCAGGTCCTGGGATCGAGCCCCGCATCGGGCTCCCTGCTCAGCAGGAAGCCTGCTTCTCCCTCTCCCACTTCCCCTGCTTGTGTTCCCTCTCTTGCTGTGTCTCTCTCTGTCAAGTAAATAAATAAAATCTTAAAAAAAAAAAAAAAAAAAAGCAATCTTCTAAGTTTGAGCCCCACATGGGGTATAGAGATTACTTAAAAATAAAATACGTATTTTTTAAGATTTTATTTATTTGACAGAGAGAGCATAAGCAGGGGGAGCGGCAGGCAGAAGGAGAGGGAGAAGCAGGCTCCCTGCAGAGCAGAGGATCATGACCTGAGTTGAAGACAGATGCTTAACCAACTGAGCCACCCAGGTGCCCCCAAAATAAAATATTTTAAAAGGAAGAAAAAAAAAAAGGAGGCAATCTAGCGTGGTAGTAAAGAGCACACAGTCCTTGAAGCTAGAATGCCTAGGGTCACATTCCAGCTCCCCATTTACAAGTTACTGCTGCCTGAGAAGCACCTCTCCAGAATTTCATATTGGGAACCCCTGTGTATTGGTTTTCGATTGTTGCTGTAACAGATTACTACAAACTTGATGGCTTGAAACAACACAAATTTATTATAATTTTGAGGGGTCAGAAGTCCAAAATAGGTCTTAGTGGGTGAAAATCAAAGTATTAGCAGCGCTGGCATTTCCAACTGGAGGATCTAAATGGGAACGATTCTTTGCCTTTTCCAGTTCCTACAGGCCACCCACTTATTGACCCTCTTCCCCCAAACCAACATTGTATTTTTCTGTGCCTTTCTTCCATAGTAACATCTCTCTCTGACTCTCATCGTGTTCTGCCTCCTCCTACTTTTAAGAACAATGGTGATTACATTGGACCCACCCAGATAATCCAGAATAATCTCCCTATTTTAAGATCAACTGATAAGCACAACTCAACACAAACCCCAAATAATCCAATTAAAATGGGCAGAGGACCTGAATAGGCAGTTTTACAAAGAAGACATACAGATGGCAAACAGATAACAGGAAAAGGTGCTCAACATCGCTCATCATCAGGGAAGTACAAATCAAAACCACAATGAGATACTACCTTACATCTGTCAGAATGGCTAGAGTCAAAAAGACAAGAAATAACAAGTGTTGGTGAGGCTATGGAGAAAAAGGAACCCTCATGCACCATTGTTGAGAATGTAAATTGGTACAACCATTGTAGAAAATAGTATGGAGGTTCCTTTAAAAATAGAAATACCATATGATCCAGTAATTCTACTCCTGGGTATTTACCCAAAGAAAATGAAAACACTTCATTCAGAAAGATAATATGCACCCCTATATTTATTATGGCATTATTTACAATAGCCAAGATGTAGAAGCAAGTGTCCACTGATAAATAAATGGATAAAGGGGCGCCTGGGTGGCTCAGTCGTTAAGCGTCTGCCTTCGGCTCAGGTCATGATCCAGGGTCCTGGGATCGAGCCCCACATCGGGCTCTCTGCTCAGTGGGGAGCCTGCTTCTCCCTCTCCCACTCCCCCTGCTTGTGTTCCCTCTCTCACTGTGTCTCTCTCTGTCAAATATATAAAATCTTAAAAAAAAAAAAAAAAGACACACACACAGGAATATTACTCAGCTATAAAAAAAAAAGAAAGATCTTGCCATTCATGACAACATGGATGGACCTAGAGGGTATTGTGCTAAGTGAAATAGGTCAGACAGAGAAAAACAAATACCATTTGATTTACCTTATATGTGGCATTTAAAAAACAAAACAAAAAGCAGATACAGACATAAATACACAGAACAAACTGATGGCTGTGGGAGAGGAGGGATCTGGGAGATGGGCAAAATGATGGAGGGGAGTGGGAAATACAGGCTTCCAGTTATGGAATAAATAAATGATGGAGGTAAAAAGTCCAGCATAGGGAATATAGTCAGTGGTATTGAAATAGCACTGTATGGTGACAGATGGTAGCTACACTTGTGGTGAGCATAATATAACATAGACTTGTGGAATCACTGTGTTGTACACCTGAAATTAATGTAACATTGTGTGTCAACTATACTTCAATAATAAAAAAAATTTTTTTTAAAGATCAACTGATAAGCTACCTCAGTTCTTCTTTGCCATGTAACCTAACATTCACAGGTTCCAAGGATTAAGGCATTGACATCTTTGGGGGACGATTTTTCTGCATTCACATCTACGTTTAAATTCTAAAAGTTGCATCAGGCAGCTGGGGCCGGGAGAAGATGATTCCAAAGTAGAGATACTGGCTAACGCTGAGAACTGTGAGTAGGACCAATAATTGGGTGTAAGCTAAAAGGAACTACTGAGCAGTATATGTACATGTTTTAAAATTCTCTTACTGGCATAAGGTATATACGGTAGATTCAGTATTCAAGAGTGATTGAATTAGAAGGAAGTGACTAAGTTTTAGTTACATGGCAGGGAAAGATTAAAATATTAGAATAGATTTTATTTCTATTGTTTTGTGCCAGTCCTCAGGAAAATGTTCTTGATTTAACTACAGCTTTGGAGAAGCTTTGTGTTTAATTTTAATTTTTGTATTTTTATTACAGATTTTACTACGCTTGGATGCTACTCCTGACATGGAGAAGATTGAGGAACAGTTTGCTAATCTGAACATTGTTAAACGTTCCTCAGAAACTAAAGAGCCTACTTATTTGCTTGGTATAGATACATCAAAAGCTGTACAAGCAGAAAAAGAAAACTTGGTTGCTGTTTTATGTTCTAATGGATCAATCAGAATATATGATAAAGAAAGGCTATACATACTACGAGAATTTAGTGGATATCCTGGACTTCTTAATGGAGTTAAATTTGCAAATTCTTGTGACAGTGTATATTCATCATGCACCGATGGCACTGTAAAGTGTTGGGATGCTCGATTAGCCAGTGAAAAACCTGTCCAGCTGTTCAAGGGTTACCCTTCCAATATTTTTATTAGTTTTGATATCAACTGTAATGATCATGTCATTTGTGCTGGTACCGAAAAAGTGGATGATGATGCATTGTTGGTATTTTGGGATGCAAGAATTAATTCTCAGGATTTGTCTACTACCAAAGACCCACTTGGAGCATATTCAGAGACTCATAGTGATGATGTCACTCAAGTGTGCTTCCATCCCAACAATCCCAACATGGTAGTCTCGGGTTCAACTGATGGCCTGGTAAATGTATTTGATATTAGTGTTGATAATGAAGAAGATGCACTGGTTACAACCTGCAACTCCGTTTCATCAGTAAGCTGTGTTGGTTGGTCTGGGAAGGATTATAAACAGATTTACTGCATGACACATGATGAAGGATTTTGTTGGTGGGATCTTAATCATCTGGATACTGATGAACCAATTACATGTTTGAACATCCAGGATGTCAGAGAAGTAGTTAATCTGAAAGAAGGTATTTTGGACTATTTAATTGGTGGCCTATATCATGAAAAAATGGACAAATTGTTTGTTGTTGGAGGAACAAACACAGGAATTATTCACTTGATGAGCTGCAGTATATCAGGATTGATCCATGTGACCAGCCTTCATGGAGGGCATGCTGCTACAGTCCGTTCTTTCTCTTGGAATATGCAGGATGATTCTATGCTAACCGGAGGAGAAGATGCACAGTTGTTACTTTGGAAACCTGGAGCAATAGGGAAGACATTTACAAAGAAAGACAGCATGAAAATAGCATCCTCTGTGTCCCAGCGAGTTCGAGTTCACAGTAATGATTCTTACAAGAGAAGGAAAAAGCAGTGATGTTATGTTGGGAGTTTACTTGAGGGGTTTTATAGTTTCAAGTAGTTATTTTTGTGTACTACCTGTGATAGATATGTTTAAAGCTCATATGTAAAAACAAGCCAGTTAGCAAACAATCCTGGAAAAATGTTGAAAATGGTTTAATTCAGGTCTTCATGTATTCTAAAATTATTTTTTTTAAAGCTGCCAGTTGAGTATATAATCAGTGAGTTGAAAGTAAAATTACATTCCTCATTTTTAAAACCCATCTGTTGAGTTAGTAAATGTTGGGTTTAAAGAAATAGCTTTGATAAGGACTTTTTAGAAGTAGATGGCTGGTGTGACTTTAAAAAATCAGGTGGTTTGAGCTATGTTTTTTAAATTCAGGTTTTTTTTACATTTTAAATCATCTTCATTATTTATAAAATCAAATCAGACTGTTTTCTGTAGGAGCTCCCACTTGCTTAATACACATAGATTATGTTGGAGTATTTAAATGTAAATATTCTAATGATTCTAAATAGAACTAAAGTTTTTTAGAAATAAAATGATTTGCATCTATTTAAGAAAAATATATTTAGTATATATTTGCATCTATCTGCCTGGATAGATTTTTTTTTTTTTAAGTAGCGTCCACGCTCTCAGCATGGAGCCCAATGTGCGGGACTTGAACTCACAACCCTGAGACCATACCTTGAGCTGAGATCAAGAGCCAGATGTTTAACGGACTGTGCCACCCAGGTACCCCTATTTGCATCTATATTTTTAAACAGTTAAAAATAAGCAAATATTTCATTGATGAAAAGGAAATTATCTTGCAAATTCAAAGGGATCTTGAGATTCAAAGGGAATATACAAAAACAGAAGTATTTATAATAGCAGAATGACTTTTTATTTCAAAATATTCTACTATTTTATGATAAAATTTTCTTTCATGGTGTTTCATCTATAATTTTAAACTTAGGTGCCCCTGGGGAGTGGGGGCCATGCAGGAGGTGCTGCTGGAGAAAGAACACCATAATTTTAAACTTGAATTTTTGTTTACTGCCGGTTTTTTCATCCTTACTGTTAAATATTTTTCCAAAGAATCTTTTTTTTTTTTAAAGATTTTATTTATTTATTTCACAGAGAGAGACACAGTGAGAGAGGGAACAGAAACATAGGGAGTGAGAGAGGGAGAAGCAGGCTTCCCGCGGAGCAGGGAGCCCGACGTGGGGCTCGATCCCAGGACTCTGGGATCATGACCTGAGCCAAAGGCAGACACTTAACGACTGAGCCACCCAGGCACCCCTCCAGAGAATCTTAATTAAAAAGTTGGTCACTCGGGGTGCCTGGTGGCTCAGTCGGTTAAGCATCTGACTCTCGATTTTGTCTCAAAGTTGTGATCTCAGGGTTGTGAGACTGAGCTCCACAATGCTCCATGCTCAGAGCAGAGTCTGCTTGTCCCTCTCCTGCACCTCCCCAACTCCTGCATGTGCTCTCTCTCTCTTTCTCTCAAATAAATAAATAAAATCTTTTTTAAAAAAGTTGGTCACTCTAAAGGTTTGGTATGTTTTCTTATGTTTAATTACAAATAAAAATATCTTCTTATAGATAAGAATATATAAAGATACTGTAAAACATTTTTATCTTTTGAACTAAAAATATTGTCATGAAAAATACAAACATTACTTTAGAACCTTTTACATTTCTCTTTAAATGTTAATGACTTATCTCTGAGACCATAGCACTAGGGGGAAATAGTATTCTATAGCACAATGCAACTTACACATAGGTATGATCTAGCTTCACTCACTTGAGAGGGAATAATAGTTAAGTCACTGTTAAACATACTCAAAATAAAGAATTCTCTTTTTTTTTTAATATTTATTTATTTATTTTAGAGAGAGAGAGCATGAGCAGGAGGGGCAGAGGGAGAAGGAGAGAATCTCTAGCAGACTTAATACTGAGCGGGGAGCCCGAGGCGGGGCTTGATCTCATGACCCTGAGATCATGACCTGAGCTAAACTCCAGTTAGAGGCTTAACCAACTGAGCCACCCAAGTGCCCCTCAAAATACGTAATTCTTATTTGAAAAGATTCACCTGTTCTTGCTGTTGTTCAAATCATGAACTTGAGGTTAATTCTGGATTTTTTTCTTTTCTCCTATTTAGTGATCACCAAGTCCTGTGCCACTCCACCTCCCAGAATCTGTCTGCTGTTTCTTTGCCTTTACCCCCCCCACTAGTGCCTTAGATAAGATTTTCATCATTTCTCTCCTAGATTACAGACCCTGGCTCTAATCTGCTCCAATTCATTCTTCCCACTATTTCTAGGCTGAACGTAGAAAACAGATTTGATAATGTCTCATGCTGCTTAAAATCTTTGGTACATTTTGATCTTTTGATGGAGCACTATGTAAAAATGAAAAACCATGTTTTTAAGATACTTAGGATATGAGATAATGCTGACTATGTAAGTAGAAAAGCTGTATAAAAAGACTTGGAGACATTGCATTTATAAAACAACAGGAAATGAGACAGTTACCAAAACAGTAAAACTTTCAAAAATATTTAAAATTTAAAAGTAATTAATGGGGGTGCCTGGGTGGCTTAGATGGTTAAGTGTCTGCCTTTGGCTCAGGTCATGATCCCAGGGTCCTGGGATCGAGTACCGCATCGGGCTCCCTGCTCAGCGGGGGGCCTGCTTCTCCCCCTCCCTCTGCTTCTCCCCCTGCTCATATTCTCTCTCTCTCTCTGTATCTCTGTGTCTCGAATGAATACATAAAAAAAAAAAAAACCTTTAAAAGTAATTAATAGAGGGCACCTAGGTGGCTCGGTAAGTTGGGTGTCAGACTCTTGATTTCGGCTAGGGCATGATCTCAGGGTTGTGAGATCAAGCCCTGTGTCGGGCTCCCTGCTGAGCGTTCTTTCTCTCCCTCTCCCTCTGCCCTTTCTGCCCTTCTCTCTCCCTCCTCCTGCCCCCCCCAAAAGTAATTAATAGAGTTGGAAGATGCAGGTGAGAAAATACCTTTGAAAGTAGACCTCAAAGAGAGAGAGTGAGAGAAAAAATTAAAGCCACAGAAGATAAATATAGGGGTCTAATATCAGATTATCAGTTTTTACAATGTGAGAAAAAATGTAGTTTGGAGTTGTAATGAAATACCATTAGAGGCTATCCCCAGAACTCCAGTCTTCAGATTGAAAGGCCCAACAGTGTCAAGTATAATAAATGAAAAAGACCCACACCAAGGCATAGTACTCTGAAGTGTCAGAACTCCAAGAACAAAGAGAAAATTTTAAAAATTTCCAAAGGAAGGCGGGGGGGAAGCAATCACTTAGGTACAAGGATAACATGTGAATTAGACTCTTCATTAGTAAATCTGGATGACACAAAATGGTGAATCAAAGTTCCAACTTCTGAGGACAATTTCCTGCTATCTGAACTTAAGCTCTTCAAACTCACGAAGCAAATAGATGGCAATAAATTTTTTGAGACATCCCTTGCTCAGTGAACGTTTTTTCCTTGCTCTCTGAAACTCAGGAACCAAATTTATTTCCCTAACAGAATATCCATTGCTAACCACACTCATTGGCCACTGAGGAATTTAAAAATTTGGATTTTAGGAGATAATTGCTTTTCAACCTTTAATTCTATAGGTCAAATTGCCCTCACATGTGAGGTTTAAAACTTTACTTTCTATGCAGCTTTTGAAAAAGGATACTGGAGGATGTACTCTACAAAGAATAAAGGAGTAAATCAAGGAAGACAAGAGATACCAGGAATCAGGGCACCAACCCAGCACAGTGGCAGGCTAACAGCTTTGCAGCAGGCCCACAGTATTCAATCCAGGTTGGAACAAGAGGACATGAGCTATCAGGAGGGAGATGTCCAGGGAGAAAAGTGAACTTGACAGGTTTCCCAATGCATCTGACCATGTGGAAAATAGAATAAGTGCCTTAAACCCACCAATTAAAAGAGACCCTCCTATTAAAAATCATTTAAAAAGACAAGTTTTTAAAAGATTAAAAATAGGGATGCCTGGATGGCTCAGTTGGTTAAGCATCTGCCTTCGGCTTGGGTCATGATCCCAGGATCCTGGGATCAAGTCCCACATTGGGCTCCCTGCTCAGTGGGGAGCCTGCTTCTCCCTCTGCCTGCCGCTCCCCCTGCTTGTGCTTGCTCGCTCTTTCTCTCTCTCTGACAAATAAATAAAATCTTAAAACAAAAAAATTAAAAATAAGTAAATTCACTTAAAGACCTAGGTTAAAAAAAAGTAAAGGATGAGGAAAGGTATTACCAACCCACAGAATGGGAGAAAATATTTGCAAATAATAGATAAGAACTTGCATTCAAAACATATTTTTAAAATGTTACCACTCAATAATAAGAGAAAGCAATTTTTGAAATGATCAAGGATCTGAATAGACATTTCTCCAAAGAAGATACAGAAATGGTTAGTGAACACACACAAAAAGATGCTTAACATTATCAGTCATCGGGAAAATGCAAACCAAAACCACAATGAGATACCACTTCACACCCACTGGGATGGCTATAATCAAAAAAATGTTGGTGAGCTTATGGAGAAATTGAAAGTTTCATACACTGCTCTGCTGTTAGGAATGTAAAATAGTATAGCTACAGTCTGGCCATTCCTTCATAGTTGCTGTTTGATCCAGCCGTTCCAAATTAGGTATATGCTGAAGAGAATTGAAAGCATAAGTCCACATAAGAACTTGTACATGAGTGTTCATAATAGCATCATTCATAATAGCCAAAGGTGGAAATAATCCAAATGACCATCAATTGATGGAGGGGTAAATTATGGTATATCCATAAATAGAATATTATTCAGCCATAAAAAGAAAAGAAATGCTAATACATGCTACAACTCAGATGAATCTTGAAAACATGCTAAATAAAAATAGCCACAAAAGACCAAATTGGATGATCCCATGTACATCAAAAGTCCAGAATAGTCAAGTCTATAAAGAAGAAGAAAAACAACAAAAGAACATATAATTGTGGTTACCTAGGGCTGGGAGGTGGGAGGAAAATGGGAGGGCTGGTGTCTGTTTGGGGGGGGAGGGTGTGATGCAAACTGTTGGTGATTATAGTTGCGCAACTCTGAATATAATAAAAACCACTGTGGGGCGCCTGGGTGGCTCAGTCATTAAGCGTCTGCCTTCGGCTCAGGTCGAGCCCCGCATCAGGCTCCCTGCTCTGCAGGAAGCCTGCTTCTCCCTCTCCCACTCCCCCTGCTTGTGTTTCCTCTCTCACTGTGTCCCTCTCTGTCAAATAAATCTTAAAAAAAAAAAAACCATTGTATTGTACACTTTATTTCTTTTGTATTGTACACTTTAAATGAATGAATTGCATATGAATTTCACCCAAATGAAGTTATTACCAAAAAATATATATACCAGACAAATATGAACCAAAAAACCAGGGTGGAATTGGTTTTTTTTTCTTAAGATTTTATTTATTTATTTGAGAGAGAGAGCACAAGTGGGGTCAGGGGCAGAGGGAGAAGCAGACTCTCTGCTGAGCAGGGAGCCTGACCTGGAGCTCAATCCCAGGACCCTGGGATCATGACCCAAGCCAAAGGCAGTTGCTTAACCAACTGAGCCACTCAGGCACTCCTTGACAAAATGGAATTTAAGTTTAATATAACCTTAATTCCAAAACCAGATGAAAATGAAGAAAAAAGTGAAGTCCATTTGTTTATGAATATATATTCACTGTTAAAAATAGCTAACCAAATCCAATGGTGTATTTTTAAAAAATATGACCAACAAAGGTTTATCTCAGGATGATGCAACATCAGAAAATCTATCACAGAATGGGGGAAGAGATAGCAGGGTGATGGGTATTAAAGAGGGCACATGTGGTGAGCAATGGGTGTTATGTGTAACTGATGAATCGTTGAACACTACATCAAAAACTAATGATGTACTACTATACAGTGGCTAACTGAACATAATAAAAAAATTTTTTTTTAAGAAAAAAAGAAAATCTATCACAGGGGCGCCTGGGTCGCTCAGTGGGTTAAGCATCTGCCTTCAGCTCCGGTCATGATCTCAGGGGTCCTGGGATGGAGTCCTGCCTCAGGCTCCCTGCTCATCCGGGAGCCTGCTTCTCCCTCTTCTCCCCCTCCCCCCACTTGTGCTCTTGTGCTCTCTTTCAAATAAATAAGTAAAATCTTTAAAAAAGAAATCTATTGGGCACCTGGGTGGCTCAGTCGTTAAGCGTCTGCCTTCGGCTCAGGTCATGATCCCAGGGTCCTGGGATCGAGCCCTGCATCAGGCTCCCTGCTCAATAGGGAGCCTAGTTCTCCCTCTCCCACTCCCCCTGCTTGTGTTCCTGCTCTCGCTATCTCTCTCTCTGTCAAATAAATAAATAAAATCTTAAAAAAAAAAATCTATCACAGTAATGGACAAAACAGAAAAAAAATCATGATTATCTTAATTGATAAAAACAGTAGGGTTTCACACCTATTTATGAAAAATACAAACATGCTAACGATAAAATAATTTTTTAACTTGGTTAAAGTTAATATATCAAAATCTCGAGTAGACATTATTCTTTTTGGAGAAGTGTTAGATTAAATACATTCCTTTTAAGACCAAGATTCAATGAGGAAGCTTATCACAATAGTATGAATTCTGGCCAATACTATAAGGAAAGAAAAAGTATGATAACATGTAAGGATTGGAAGAGAGGGGGAAAAACTCCTTTGCAAATGATATATACCTAGAAAACCCAATATGCAAATGATACATACCTAGATATATACCTAGCCTTACCTTTTCAGCTCTTTCAGCTAATAAGAGATTCAGCAAAGCTGCCAGAACAAGGTCAGCCTACGAAAATCTCAAGTATGTCATTTTACGATAGCAGGAAATTTAAAAAGTATCAAGGAATTAAGAAGAATACTCAAGAACTATTTGGAGAAACTTTAAAATTCCGATAAAGACAGAAGTTGTGGGGCACCTGGGTGGCTCAGTTGGTTAAGTGTCTGCCTTCGGCTTGGGTCATGATCCCAGGGTCCTGGGATCAAGGTCCGCATCGGGCTCCCCCTGCTGTGGGGGGAGCCTACTTCTCCCTCTGCCGCTCCCCCTGCTTGTGTTCTCTCTCTCTCTTTCTCTCTCTCTCAAATAAAGATTTTATTTATTTATTTGAGAGGGAGAGAATGAGACAGAGAGCACGAGAGGGAAGAGGATCAGAGGGAGAAGCGGACCCCCCCGCTGAGCAGGGAGCCCAATGTGGGACTCGTTCCCAGGACTCCAGGATCATGACCTGAGCTGAAGGCAGTCGCTTAACCAACTGAGCCACCCAGGCGCCCTAAATAAAATCTTTTTTTAAAAAAAGAAACTAGATTCCTTAAATGGTAGACTTAAATGATAAAAGATGAAAACTATAAATTTAATACAAGGAAGTATGGGAAAATATCTGTGACCTACAAGTGGAAATGACTTCTTAAACTCCAAAAGTATGGGGGCACCTGGATGGCTTAGCCATTAAGCGTCTGTCTTCGGCTCAGGTCATGATCCCAGGGTTCCGGGATCGAGCCCCGCATTGGGCTCCCTGCTCCATGGGAAGCCTGCTTCTCCCTCTCCCACTCCCCCTGCTTGTGTTCCCTCTCTCGCTGTATCTCTCTCTGTCAAATAAATAAACAAACAAACAAACAAACAAACTTCAAATGCATGAAGTATAAAGAAAAAAGAAATTTTATATCAAAATTAAGTATTTCTGGTCCCCAAAAATCTATAGTCAAAAAACAGAGTGCGAGAAAATATATTTTAAATCAACAATTGGTTAAATTAGACTGTAGAAGGACCTGCAAATCCATAATGGAAAACAATGCCAATGGAAAAATGAGCAAAGACTATGAAAAGGCAATATGCAACTGATGAATTGTTGAAATTACATCTGAAACTAATGATGTACAACGTGTTGGCTAATTGAATTTAAATAAAGAAAAAAGACTATGAAAAGGCAAATTTTGGAAGGACTTAAAGGTGGCCAAACTCCTTAGTAATCAGAGAAATGAACTCTTAAACAATCACTCTATACCTTTTAGAACTACAAAATTAGAAAGGGAAGAGAGAAAGAGTAGAAAAGAGATTTTAATGGGAAAGAAAAAATCACTTCCAAAGGATATTACACATCTGTTGGAGAGTTTAAGAACTAATAACATGCACTCAGAAAGCCATGTATATGAACAAGAGTGGGGGTAAAAAAAATGTATAAGAAAAGAAATACAATCAGTACACTAACCCTTCACTGGTGAATAATATTTATGTAGTCATAATGATGTAAGCACAATATTGATTTAATCGAAAGTTGTAAACTATTGGGAGCAGGGAATAGAAGTGTAAAAGGTATGCAAATGTTTGGTTTTCCTCTCCCATAGTAGAAAGTCAACAGTCTTTCTGTGGATAAATCAAGACAATAGCACTGTAAGCACATTAGAAGCGTGTAAGTACATTGCTTGCCAAAAACTAAACAAGTTGAAAGGGATTCCCTCTAGAGAAGAGGTAGGCTGGAGAGATCGGATGGGGGACTGCTGCTTTTGTTCTTTGATCTTTATTATAAACATACCTTATGGTAGAATATCAGGATACTTCTGGCTGCAAATAACAGCTCAATTCAAATGAACCATATAAGGAACCTATTACCTCACATAAGTTCAGAAGTGGAGCATTTCCAAGACTGATTGTTAGCAAGAATGTAAATTCTTTCCATTCTTCTGCTCTGCCAATCTTCATCTTGTCAGCCTCAAGTTCACAAGATGACTATAATCAGTAAATGATCACATCCACACTCAACTATGTCCAATGGAAAAGAGAGTGTTTCTTCGTCTGTGATCCTTTTTATTAATGATCACACACATACACACAAACATGCACTTTCTGAGAAGCCTCACAGCAAGTGTTATTGGCCGGAATTTCTTTATGTGCCCAGATGCCTAAAATAGTCGCTAGCAGGAGAAATGCAATCACCACTGATTGGCCCAATCGTAATTCGCTGCCTGTGGGGCTGGGGATAACATACACTCTTCTGAAGCACATGGGTCCAGGGAAGGATACAAAAAGGAGGTTGGGGTTCATGAGTAGTTGCTGGGAAGGTGGCCAATGGTGTCTCCTATAGGTACTACTTGACTTCAGTCATGTGTATGATTTCTTCAAAATATTTCTCATTTGGGGCACCTGGGTGGCTCAGTTGGTTAAGTGACTGCCTTCAGCTCAGGTCATGATCCTGGAGTCCCGGGATCGAGTCCCACATCGGGCTCCCTGCTCAGCGGGGAGCCTGCTTCGCCCTCTGACCCTCCCCCCTCTCATGCTCTCTCTCTCTATCTCATTCTCTCTCTCAAATAAATAAATAAAATCTTTAAAAAAATATTTCTCATTTGAACATTGAATCAAATAAATGTAAGATATTTGTGAGGCAATAATTAACCTGCACTGTTTTACTTTTTTCCATCAACATGCATTAAAGTGCAAACTACTCTACCTTTATTGGGTGATTATTTAGAGGAGAAGGAGACATTTAACACATTTAAAAGGAGAAATTGAAAAATGTGTCGGATGATATTTGTTGTCCTTTTGGCAAACTTTATATAATTTTCTGCCACTGCAGTCAGCAACGTCATGTTGAATCAATTTGCTATTCAATTACTGACCCATTTTACTAATCCATCTCTCAGATCCACAAACCAACTCAATCATCTAGC